TACGGTCTTGCGTTGGGGTCAAAACCTTGAAAAGAGCTCTTCCAGATGGTTGATTGCACAAGTCCCTTGCGCTGTATCTGTTCATTCGTTGAAATGCCATGTCTGCCAATTATCCATCCATGCTTCACGGCCAGCATATTTTCCAGCAAAAATCTGGATCATCTCGCCTTTGAGAGCGTGTAAATCTACCATCTTTTATCTTATGATGATTGTTGCATGGTGTTTTTCCTCCGTCGTACTGGGTACGTGTACTTGTTGACAATGAAACGGAGTTGTTGCATGTTTTCAACATGAAAGTATTTGAAATTCTCTCGGTCATCGCTAATGTTGAAACGAAGGGTCGGCGTGCGTGCAAAGGCAGATTTTGTCGTAGATTTTGTCGTAGATTTTGTCGTAAATTTTGTCGTAAATTTTGTCGTAGGGTTGTCGTAATTTGTTGTAGGTTTGTCGTAATTTGTCGTAGCTTGTCGTAAATATTTTACGACAAAATTTACGACAAAAGGCTTGTCGTTAATTATAACTCCACTGTTTTGGAGAAATAAAACAATGTTTTGCCCCCTAAATAATTCTATGTACCCGTAAATGATGGAGGAATTCGATGGAACAAAGTGGAGCTTGAATTGTTGTCTCCGTGCTGAGGGGGGAGGAAAAATCTGTCTGTCTCCCGTCACACTTTGGTTTCACTACAATCCGAGGCGTGTCCCAGGAAAAACGACAATTGCTTATCAACGAAAATCTAAGAAGACAAAATGCAAAATGAAAGGAGTTTGATTACGTTGTTGGTGGTGAAGTTTTAATCAAGAACTTCAATCCAAGTAAATTGGATAAGGTCCGTATCGAATCACTTGTGTGTTCACTAACGGAACTATTGAAATTCGCAGAAATCATCAAGTCTTTGAGAAACTGAATATACGGCATCTTGTGCCGTTTTGTCGAGTCTAGCATATGATAACCTTGTATCGCGTGTTGCGTCAAGAACCACCTCTCGTTGAAACGTGGATGTAAGGACGCCTTTGTGACTGTATTTCAATACGATATCATATGATCCAGCAAGCTTTGATCATAGAGGGGAAGAGTGAAACGGCCCATAGAACAGGCCCAAGGTATTGGGACTCTAGAAGCTCCTTTGGTTGGGGACTATATTAGACCTTAGGTCTTACGTAAGCACTTTCTGTGCCTTTCTAAAGTCATCTATAATTTTCAATAAGACTCTTCTGTGAAGGCTGGGTTAAAGTGTTGCCAACTTAGCCTATTATTAGCCTCGCTATCCGACATATCTCTTGTTTGGACTATTGATTTGACCCGTCCTCTTTGAACAAAAAGTTGTGGAGAGCACAGCAAGTTAGCCATATTCTGTCGCAAACTCCAATGCCCTGTAGGGGGATTCCTGTCTTGAGGATGCAGAAGCGCCCTTTCATTATACCAAAGGTACACTCAACATCTTTCCTCATACTTTCCAGCCACCTGCTGAAACGCATCTCAGAGTATGTGGTCCACAGTTTCATGGGAGGCACTAACACTGACCACCAAAGATATCCATTGTCAACAAATGGTCCAAGCACCAGAGTATTCGACCTCTTTCACACCTCCATTGCCATCAGGTTCAAGAAGAATGAAAGTGAGGTCGTCATAGCGCTCCTCCTTTTTGAGTTGATTGGCGAGTTCATCGAAACGGATCAAAGTCTTGTCCGACCACCGCCCAGGATGACTGACCTCTAGTAATACAGAGAATGCGGCGGCGGCGATTTACTGTCGTGTTGTAGGTGTGGGTGGGCATTGAAGGGCTCTGGTTTCTTTCTTTCCTACCTTGGCAGTCGGTCTGGGTGATCCATCTCCTGCTTGGCGATCAGCTCGCAAATGGTCAGTACGTCAAGATGATCTTGCTCTGACTCCTCATTTTCCCTATATCTTCGGTAGTTCAAGTACAACAATGGGTCAATATCTCTTGTAGTCGGGTTATTACAGCTGGTAAGCCGTGTTGGAGGGCCATGGGTGGGCATTGCCCATGATGCCTTGGATCGGAGTTTTTTTGTGTGATCAAATCCTGGTTTTTTGGGACCCCGAAATCCAACCAACCAGGGGTCCGCGTTGGCTAGATTTTCAGTTTCCAAAATTCCCCAAACAGAGGTGGTCTGTAGAGGTTGGTAGGAAATCTACGTTGGTACATGTTTTTACATACGTAGTTTCCTGTTTCGCGTTCGGGATTTTTGACCGTGTGGACCGGCCTAAATGACCCAAATACACAATTGTACACAATTGAAAGTCTTCAATACGAGGTTGTTTTTCAGCGTTGATTGCAAACCTAACGCAATGAAAGGAAAGTTTATATCTGACAGAGCCACTAGAAACAACGTCGTTTCTCGATTGAAAGCTGCATATGAGAAACCCCAGCAGGATAAAGATATGACTCTAACTTGTTCGAAAGAAAAGGGGACCAGTTCAGCCTCTACAGCAGCTTCAAAGAAGAAAGTAGGCGGATTTTTGTGGGGTGGGGGGCGGAAAAAGAATCAGGGTTCCTTACGGAGAGAATCAATCAAGGAAGATGAACCCTCTGAGATTATAATTGAAGAAGTCTTGGAGGAAGATTTTGATGAAGAAGTGATTGAAGAGGTTATAGAAGAGGTCCTTGAAGAGCCACACTCTCAATCAGGATCCATGCCATCGCATCGTGGCCGCAATCACTTGATGTTCGATCAGCTGCTCATAAAGGCTCATGGAAAAGAAGCGGATCTAGATGAGTATGAATACGAGTATGACGAAGTCGAAGAAGATACTCAACGAACTAGTCGCGATTTGACTACTTTTCGCACAGTTTCAATGTCAAGGCGAGCACTATTCAGCAAAGGCAATGATGACTACGATGCCATAAAGCAATCGTTTCGAGACATGCACAAATCAAGACGAGCGGCCATGATGGATCTGAAGACATCCACTAGGCACATGGCAACTAGTATCCGAACGTTCGACGTTCGGGATGAAATAGACGAAGATGATGAAGAATGGGAAGACCAGATAATCGAGAAATGGTTTCGTCGAGAAGCCCTGCCAGATGACTTGTCCACAGCATGCAGAGAATTAATACCCATTGTCTACAAAGGCCAAGATGTGAATCCAGAAGTGATGATAAGGCGCACGCCCCTCCCCGAATTATACAAGTACTTGAAACAACATTTGGATTACAAGCAAATGAAGACAAATTCGAATCTGAATAAGTTTGATAAACTGTTTGGAGGATCAGACGATGACGGCTTCGAAGAGGAAGACTCCGACGAGGAGACCGTTGAAATTGATGATGACCTCTTTTGTAAGGGTTTAAAAGCAAACAAATTCAAAACAAGCTCCAACAAGAAATCGACGGCATCAAACAACTCAAATCTAAGCAATAAAGCAAAATTTGAAAGTCTCCTTCGTCAAGTTCATCAAGAGAAAGACAACGACGAGGAGGACGATAGCGAGGCGGAAGAAGAAGAATACTACGAGGAAGAGGAAATTATATCGGGTGATTCCGCCGTAGAGATTGGGAAAAAGGACAATTTGGCGCTTTTCGAAAGTATGACAGGTGATTTCGAAGAGGAAGTACTTTGAGGTGGCAAGGTATGATGCTTCAAAAGAATGCGCACACATTGGGTTTAAACTATAGTGCTACGTTCTCATGTCAGCTGCAGTCTATGATTCTTCCTTGTAGGTCAAAGCCATCAAAGAAAACTCCAGCGAATCCGGTTCCACTAGCAGAAAATTCTTCTGGATTACTACCCATGTCTTTTCTTCAAAGTCTTCCAGTGACGATGGCCCATGATCGATGGGTCCAAATTTTGTGCCATCCAACTCAATTACTCGCTCAGTCTGCGCGTCCCATATAAATGCAACAAAATGATGGTCTAATTCAACGCCATCTCTATCTGGGCAAGCTGTCTGGGCGTCCGAACTGACAGCTGCTGTGTCGGAAACGCACTTAAATGCATCCAGTTGATGCAACAGTTCTCCGCGTTCTTGAGGCGTGCTACTATTAGAAGACTCTCGGAAGCTCCCCAATGGTGTCGTTTCATCCATCGCCCCGTGAGTATTGAGGCAGACGTGCAAACAAGCAATGGTTCCACAGGCATTTCCAAATCCCTGAACTTGCTTTACGAAACACAAGTGTTTCGATCGTTCCAAATAGTCAGGAATCTCCTGTAGAGCATCTTCTTGTTTCTGTCGGTAATCGAACAAGTTATCTGAACAAGGAAAGAGCAATAAGAACGCATGTGCGGGTTGCTTTAGGATCCCGAGTCCATAATAATCAACGAACTCGAAACGATCTGCCAAGCCTACTTTCTTGGCGAATTCATTGAAAACTTTTGGGTTCGACTCCAATGCTAGCCACGCAGATTGATCCGAGCTAGGAGTTACATTGTTGACAAAGTCAAGAGGATCCGACATGTTAATGAAACTGCTACAATATGGTCATGATGTTTTGGAAGCAATGAAAAATGACTCTAGTAAAGTAGTCCAATGAGTCGTCACTATGATATGAAGTAATACCGGTAGATGCTGGCGTCAGCGGTGGACCTGCCGTGGCTCACATTAGTCCACTAAGTCCAACTAGTAGAATCATATCAGTCGAATGAACACCGGCTACTCCGATATGAGTATATCCTACAAACGCCCCCTTACTCAGCATGTCTACAGTAGTCTTGTCAAAAGCAATCCTGCCAAGTGTCGAGTATTATGCTACGAGCCGACGACGATGTGGCAATGAGGTGGCGGCAACCTGACGAGCATATTCTGATCAAGACTGCAGTGGAAGTTGTGTGTATCCAGTACACACCTTCTCTTCTGATGTCAGTATGGCTACCGCTTCTGCCCAGGGAAGTAGTTCTCCGTAAATCTTATAATATCTCTTTAGCAATCTTTCTATTGCTGTGCCTAAGTTAATCCTCAGCCTTTTGTGGGACACGGCAGTACCTAATCCTACCGGTACGGATTACCAGGCACTTCTGTTTGTTCCCAAGAATGATATTCTGGCCATGTTTCCTGAGTCCACGGAGCTGATGAATGCGACTGTGGCGCAGCCTGTCATATTGCAAATGTATGTAACCACTCCTTTGTTCGTGAGTGTCTTCTTCAATGCTGTCGACAATTTGGTAGCTTTCTTTGTTGATCCTGGCGACCAAACATCCATGCAACATACGCCGAACGGTTCTTCTATTGGGGTCTGTTGTAGAATCTTTTGGTTCTTGTGGCTCAATGCATTGGCAGTTCTGTAAACAAGGGATTTTCCAAGGGAAAATCGTCGAACTCACTTTTGTGATTGAATCATCAATTCAAGCCAAACATTAATGAAATAGGAACAATTTCAATCAAAGTATACCTAACACAGGAGAACTATTGTCGTGAAAGTGTTGTACAGCCGATTACGAATTTAGATTGCAGAGAGTTTGTCCTGAGCGCTAAAGGCACTCACGATAGAGCACATTTTGCTTTATTCTAACATTCAATCACAAAAGGCAACAAAACAAATATATGTCAAGAACAGCACTGCCTTATCTACAAAGGAGTGAGTAATTCGTTGACTATGGGACGTTCTTCTTCTGGTGGAGGAAAGGGACGCGTGACTCCTCAGAAAGTCAAGAGCAATCCAAGTTCAACAGTTGTGAAACATCTATTTTCAACAAAAGATGAAAACGATGGAAAGGCAAGATCGTCGTACGGAGCTGCCAAAGAAAGAGTGATTGACTACATCCAAGCTTCTGGAATGAAATGCTCAGAAGACATGGTGAAATCTATTTGAGATGGAATGACTTCAATGCAATCGCTCCAACATTGAATGCTCCAGCTCAAACTGAAGCTGTTGCAAGAGAAACAGAGATGGCCCAAAACAAGATTCTCTATTCTGCAAAGCTCGACAAGAAAATGCAAAGATCAAAGGTTGTAAAACATCTGTTTGCAACAAAAGATGAAAACGATGGGAAGACAAGATTGTCATTCAAAGATGCCAACGAAAGACCGATTGACTATGTCCAAGCTTCTGGAATGAAGTGTTCAGAAGACATGGTGAAATCGATTCGAGATGGAAAGTCAATCGACTTTGATTCAATCGCACCAAAGTTGGATGCTCCAGTTCAAACGGAAGTTGTTGCAAGAGAAACAGAGATGACTCAAAAGAAGATTCTCTATTCTGCAAAACTAACCAATCATATGAACAGAGCAGCGTATTTCAAAACAAACAAGAGAACTGTGAAATCAAACATCATGCTTAAGTTTGTGGCAAAAGAGATGGATATCAAGCTTAGAGGTGAAGCCGATTTCACGACTACTCTTGAAGATCCAATCGAACTCTTGAAACGTATTGAACGATTCATGAAGAAGAGTGCTGATGCTGAGTATGACTTCTTAGATTTCTGGGAAGCCAATCAAAAGTTCGTTGCTATGAAGCAAGGAACAACAGAAAACTTGCACCGATACTGCTGCTAAAGACAAGTTCAAGGATGATATCTTTGAAGCCGTTCTTGCAACAGGATTTCTGTGCAACTGTGATCGAACAAGAACAGCTCCTTTGATGCTGGATCTTCAGACAAACTACTGCAAGGAAGTGGACTATTATCCAAAGACGGTCAGCAAAGCGCAAGATATGTTGAAGTTTCACATGGATGTGATCAAGAATCCGGGAGTGAACCTTTACCAAGGAAAAGACCAGCCTAATAAAGGTAAAGGTAAACCGAAGGACGATAAGAAAAAGGCAGCATGTTATGTATGTGACAGGGAGGACCATATGTCTCCAAAATGCCCAGACATACTGCTACCAGGGATTCAGTGGGAAAGGCCGGATCAATATGTTGATTATGGAAAGAAGCTCAATCTTAACCAGATTGGAGCAACTGTCCCAGCTACTATTCCAGCTACAGTTCCTGGAACTTCTCCAGTGCCAAGTATTATCACTGGTGGAACATCGAGTGTTACGGGAAGCGTTAACACACCTTTGCAACTTGCTGGTACTACAGGTAATCAAATGATGCAAGTTCCTTCGGGAATGCAGCTCATGCAGATTCCAACTCAAGGTGGCGGCACTGTGACTGTCCCTTACTCTATGAATGCTAATGGTGAGATTGCGTTCAGTGGAATGCAACTCAGCCAACAAGGCTTCAGTGGTGCTCAAATGTGCCAAGGATTTGATGCAACTCCAGCTCGAACTCCGCAGCTCGTGAAGACTGGCTATTATGATACGTCAAATGTCTTTCACGATACTATCAAGGGAAAGGATGAGAATGGCAATGATGTCTATCTTATTCCATGTCCTACTGGTACGACTAATGTTGAACTTCAATCCGACTGGCACTATGCTAGTGAAAATGAAGACTTGCCTGATCTTGCTACTGAAGCAGATCGAGGTATGCAGTTTATTCAAAGCCGCAGAATCGAAAGAGATCCGTTTGGTTTGCTCGATCACATCATCATGGACAGTGGTTGCACCAACACCACCAGTTGTAATGGTGAACTCATGCATGGACTACGTCAAGCTGAGAAAGAGCTCGATATGCACACTAACGTGGGCAGCAGAGTTCTTGATGAAGAAGGATTTCTAGGAAGATTTCCGCCTCCAGTCTATTATGATGAAGACGGAATTGCCAATGTACTTGCTATGCGCGAGATGATTGCTGCGGGATACCGCATTACCATGGATACTGATTTTGACAATGCCTTTG